CGGCGGCTGTCGAATGGCCGCATCAGACTCCGGTCGCGCAGTCAGCAAAGAGCGACTTACTTGTGCTGACTTTGCCATTGTCCATTACGAGGTCCTGGGGCCGCACGTTGTCCAACCTTGGGCCGCCCGCGTTACCACTGCGGTACAGGGTAGGCATCGCACGCGCATTCCTGCAGTAACAATGTCAGATGACAATAACTGTAAGGGATCAATCGGACGTACAACTCGCGCGTCAAGAGCGAGACCAGGTCCTCGCGAGAGATCAGGTCCAAATCGTCCCGAGCATACCATGAATTGCTGTAACAGCGTTAGTATTGCACGATGCTCGATCAATACAGACCGGACCCACAATGCAGGTGCCGCAAGAATGTTGGTGACGGCAAAGGAACAGAGCATAAGAACGTAGCCGAAAGCACGCATCGTGATTATTAGGTCGTGAAGAAAGCGGATGAAGGAATGGTTGGGTCGAAGAAAGGCGAAGAGGCTGCACGTCCGAAGTCAGCACAGACAGACAGACATACAATCACAGGGACATCCACTTACCGCGCAGCACCTATGAAGAGAACTAAGACGTGAAGAGGAATAAGGTCGCACAGCGATAAGGAATGCAGACTGTCTGCCCGCTCCTTATATACTGCTCAACCAGCGGCTGCTCGTCGGACCCGTCCCCGCTCAGCCGAGTTGGCCATCACCGGGAATACCTTCCCTCCTTCGCCAGACCTGTGAGCAAGGGGAACTAGGGGAGTTGTTACCTGTCTCATGTATCATCTCTCGTAGAGCAGTGTGGGTCGGACTCGCCTATGTGGGGCCCGCAGGCCAAACGAGCCCTTCTTTTGCCCGAGCACAGCCGTTTAGCATGCACACGATTCATGATCTAACAACCATTCTTTCAGGCTTCCGCACGAAGATCGTAGTCTGATGTGCTCAGCACCATGTACCGCATACGCAAGTGGGGCCTACGTACGCATCTTCCTAGCAAATCACTATATGATGTCTGGGATTCAGTAATGTTGAACAGTGGATTCGACTTGGGTATCACAAGTCTCTCTCATATCTCTGCATGATCGGAGGCGGAGAGCGGGTGGGTCAGCGGCAACGATTAATGGCACAACACGAAAGACTGCCCCTGCGAGCAGAGGTGGCAGTGGATGATACAACACAGCACGGACCACACGCACAGGCGGATAAAATAACGCAACCCATCTTCCCACAATGTTCTCGAGAACTGAATCTTCATGCCGCCTCGGGCTAGTCGCCCTTAGCATCTACGTACTTAGCGTGAACACATCTTGACGGAAGCAGCATCATACGCGCACCTCGTTTTTGGGCGCCTTTGTACCACCTCCAGGAGCAATGATCGATGGGCACGGCGCTAGATATTATAACTTCTGATCAATGACAACCCGAGCACATGTATCATGTTGCAGTGGATCTAACAAAGTACAGAGCGCGCCCATCCTGTAATCCAAGCCAGCGAAGACCCATCTTCCTACGATCTTCTTGAACCTGAAACATCGTGCTTCTCGGTCAGGACATCAGATCTCTCGAATCGTGTGCATCTAGCGCGCCCAATACCTTTACAGAAGTATCCTTAAGCTTTTACCTAGCGCGACCGCATCTTGACAGAACCACCCTCACAAGTACGCCTTGTGGCTGTGAAATTATATCTTCGTAAGTTCAGTCTCCAACTACTCGATACAAACGCTCACCCGCTGCGCTTATAGTCCCTTGTCTGAAAGCACGTCGGCAGCTACCTATCACGCACACACAATGTCGTCCAACGACGTCCAGGAAGCGGAGTCACGCATCAGGTGGACACACTCGTCCAAGGGCGTCTGCTTTGTGTGCGATGCCTTGACCAATGTCTCCCGCACGCGGCTGCCCGTTCCCGACTTTAGCGACGACGACTACACGTGCATCCGATCGCTTGCTTTCCGCCTCGATTCCGGGGAGCTGACCTTAGACGACCTGAGCTGGAAGGCTGGTGTAAAGGTGACGCGTGAACGCCGGCTTGCGAGTGCGGCCGTCTATGCATTCACGGAGGCGGAATGGGCGCGGGTTGCCGACGACGAGGACGAAGACGAACAATGCGATGTCATGAATGACAATGCGTTGTTGCTGCTCAGCTTGAATCTCGATGATCGGGGGAATCCGTTGAGACCGAAGTAGAATGTACTTATGACCATATGTAGCATGAGCGGGCTGTAATCAGCATGTAACATGAACACCGAGAGATGCTGTATTCACAATCAATGCGGCTATGATCGTTGGCTGAATCCAAAGCAGCGATATCTTTCTATGTGATTGCGTGGAGAAGACGAACCAATACGCCGCGTGCTGGGTAGCATATAATGTCGATGTGTGGTTGTAGATGGTAGTCTCTCATCGACGCTTGCAAGGTTCCAAGGTTGACAACCTAGCATATTAGGCCCTACCTCCCGTCATTATGAGTCAACTAGCATCCAGAAGGCTAAACGACTCGTCTCGGCCCTGTTGCTATACACAATAAAATGGATGGGGTGTGCACACAGCACCACTCACTGCTGAAACACAAGAGGGATCACTACGCTCCCCAACAGCTACGATACCAATGTACCGTGTACCCTTGTTTCCTAGGTTCTAACTTCGATAGCGTTGTCGAAGATGTGCTTTAGCTCCTGAAACCTTGACGTGAACAGCCCATAGTCGCTTTATCTCTCTCACAGAAAATGACACTTGTTGATTATTGAAATAAGGAAGCTCAGTCGATGCGATTTGAGTCAAGTGGGAAAGGGCTTGACATATTGTTATGTCGCAGAGAACGTAAGGATAAAGGAGCGCGTGTGGCGCCGTCCTTTCCAAAGGCAAAACCCAAACAGACGCTACGACGCGCTACACGTGATCAGACACGAACGCGTCGAACGCGTCGTCACGGCATTGCGTCCCAATAGGACCAGATTCACGAGATGGTAGATATGCTGAGCTATAAAAACTTAACGAGTGTGCCGTTCCGTGATGCATATCTCCACAATGAGCACCAGAGAGTTAAGGACATGGAAAGGAGGCTGAAGCAGCTGAGTAGACTTCTAGGCCTCATATATACCTTACTGACACCGTATTGGTGCTGATCTGCAATCAGCAAACCCCAGGACGTTCGCCCTAAACTTGAGAGACATTCTTGTAAGCACATGCTGACAATTCCTGGTCAACGTTTATGTTTAGGATGAATTGCTATACGGTGAGACGGCATGCCGCCAGCAAAGTGCGTCCGACCTAAGTCCTCCGTGGTGATCGTTGGGCAGGTCGTCTGAATAGTAATTTGCGTAACATCGCATACTACATAGGTCACACCTCGCGATCGCTTTGCCGTCGCCGACAACCGACAATCGACCGCACGTCTCTCCGCGCTTGGGCCTCGTGCCCCAGAGCGAAACGGCAGGGCCTCTAGGCGTCGACACCCGTGTCGACGTTACAGTTGTTCTACTAGTAAGTATTGGAACAATGTCGGAAGTGCTACGTATTTGCCTTTTATCGCGATCGCCGCATTGCATGCTCATACCGGTTTATGAGGTCAAAATTGTATTGACGACACAAACCTCTAACCTCTCGAGAGTGGTTTCGACTAACTAGCACGGTTTCTCTGTGAAACGCAGGCGGAGCATCAAAGCACTAGCACTATAGTGGATGCCTTCCCGTCTGGACGCGATTATAGAACAGAATGGACCTCCAGATCATGTCGACTCGAAAGCGACTCTTGCCGTGCTGTTAGGCGCCGAAGAGTGAGGAAGGGGTCTGTCACCGGAATATCACCGGAATACCACGAAGTAAAATCCAAATAGCACGACGATCTATTGATTGATAGTGTAGAATGTTGCACGCTGCAGCGACACGCTTTTGATGATGTATGTCCATCGTGGGGGGAACATGTCATGTCAGTGCTGACGAGACTGAAACTGAGGTTGATCGAGACAGGCTTGTGACAGGCCATGTCACTGATGTAAAGCAATCGAAGTCTCCCTGGCAGAAGAGGACGAGTAATGACGTCATCATGTTAGATTGCAGCATTATAAGAACGCAATCCCAAAACTCACGTCGCTCCGACCATTGCCCTCATACCAACTACACCACCTTGAGATTCTTCTCGACTTTCATCCTGCCATGGCCGACAAGCTTCACGAGGGACAGGACGTCTCGTAAGTCGCGGATGACTTAGTGTAGACAAGACATTGAATCGTAGCATGCCTTAGCTGGCGATGGGGAGGTGGCAATGCCACGGGCCAGGTTGCTGAGATCGTCGAAGAAGGGAAGACGAGTGTGACCAGCAACAAGGTTCCTATGTCTCAAAACATCCAGTGCCCTTCTCTAGACAAGTTTGGCTAATACGTCTACAGGGAAATACTGTCACTCGTAACGCGAGGGGAAAAGAAGACCCAGCGGTGAAGATATCGAGGAAGGGGGTAAGTGGTTGTGATGAAGCCCTGAGAAATGCAGACCGCGTTAATACCTTTTGCAGAACGACGTCGTCAAGTTGGCCCATGAGCTTAACGAAGTGAAAGACGACGAGTGAGAGTTGCAGTTGGTCATTAGGGCCCCGTATGTATGAAGCGAGCACTGGGTAGCTCAAAGTACGCATGTGGGTTTCCGTGATGTGATTAGAGCACAAATACATTCGTACAAGAGGGAAAACGAATCAAGATGATACTTCAAATGCGTCACATGATTATAGGAGACGCCCATGCGAACGCGACGCGACGCGTCTGTGGCTGAAGACTTGTCAGTCACTTGAAGCTTCAACGAGTGAATAGTCTGGTGAATTTTCGCTTCGTCTCATCCGCTGTGTACACCATTCCACCGCACCTCTGAGGGATAGAGCGATATTCACATCATCGAAGACATCTGTTCTACCTTTTGGACACTCGCACGGTTGCTTTATAAGTTGTTGGCTCATACGGCACTGTCTAGTACAGAAGCTCACCGTCAAGATCCCGTAGTTTCAAAATGTCAGTCCTGTGCGTGCGTCTCTCAAGAAAAATTGATTGTTACAGCTTTTCTCAGCTCGAGGTCTACAGTATCAAAACACTAGCACATGCAGAGATGGTCACGCGCACAGAGTATCGTACAAATGTGTGTTTCGTCGTGATTTCCCGTCGCTACTTCAGCTAATCACAAGAGCAAGCGATCATGACACGGCCTTCGAACCCTTGCCGCCCTTGGCAGCGGCAGAGGGAGAGGCGTTGGCGTTCTTGGCCGCAGCACTCTGAGCACGAGAGGCGAAGGCGCCCTTGCCGGTGTCGGCGCCGCTCTTGGCCTGGCGAGACCGAAGCGAGGCCAACAGGTCAGAAAATGTGTGCGAGGGTTGATACGCCGACGTACCTGGGTAGACTGTATGCGGGACGCGTCTGCGGGCGTGGTCTTGTGGCCAGCGGCACCACCAGCTACGAGAGCGGGCACGGTGAGCGAGTGTCGGAGGATAATGATGAGAAATGACACCCACTAGCACGGCCTCCACCTTTAGCGGGCATGTTGTTGTATGAAGGAAGTCGAAAGAGGAGTGGTTGAGTAGGTTGGTTGAGTGTGTTGGAACTGCTGAAACAGCGTCGAGCGAGCAGGTTCTTATACCCTCTGAGGACGCGCTCCGGCCAAACAAGACCACCCGGATGCGAGCGAATTGCTGTTGGTCAGAGTGACAATGGCAGCGGAGGACGTAAGGACCAGTGTCGTTGGCAGTTCATCTCGGTGGCGGATAGCTGCGGGCGATGCGCGATTTCAGCTGGAATGGCAGGATCACGACTTGGGACCGACGTGCCATCATGATAGCCCGTGCAGCTCGACACGAAGATTGGTTGCGACTCTTCTCTTGTCAGATAAAGTTGCCCTTCTTATAGGTCGCGCGCTCTGGCGTTCCAAGACAAGATACAACGATATGCCTCTTTCAGACCCGGAGGCTGGAGTGAAGACGTCAAACAATGTGCACGGGATCGATCGTCGCGGAGAGCCTCCGTTCTTTCCTGCGCGTCGCACATATGACTGCCCCCGCTGAGCGGTCGAAAGAAGATGCTGCTCTTCCAGAGCCTGACACATGAGTAGCGAATCACATATTTCATACCCGAAGGACGATCTGCACAAACCCATGTGTGGACAGAGTGTCTGTGAAGATGGTCAAATGCATCAAGGTACCTGACAGGAGTGTACCTCGTGACTCCCGGCTGTGAGGACCGTTGTTCGGAGGTTTAACGACGTTCTGTTTCAATATTATCATCACGCTCGCAATATGTGAATTTCACCGTATGCTGCCATGCTTGCCATCAAACCTAGGAAATTCGAGTAGGTGGCGGAGTCAATATCAGGGGGCGATCCTCGATACCCTGTTGTGGCTTCCGACGGACATTAACGTGAGAATGAGCCTTGTACAGTACCTGTCCCCTTGCGTGTAGGTACATTGGTCATCGTGCACAGGACTTGGTAGCAGATTGAACATCTTGGGGCACCACAGTCACATACCCGCGATGGTTTTGCATGTCTCTCGAGCACATGTCGGCGTGCGAAGCTCATGACGCAAGACCGATTGAAGCCATGACTTACTCGAGAGAAGCGCTTTCGTGGCCCTGTTAAGGGAGAGCAGTCTGAGTGTCTGGCAGCCTTGTCGTCAATGCATACAGGTTGGTAGAACCCATGGGCGCCGTGCATAGTCTTCACCTTGCCACAGGTGTGGATTTTCTCCCTTCAAAAGGTTCACAGAGACATCTCGAACGAGCTACGACATCGTATTGATCGCAAGACAGGGGATGTTGAGATCCATTGTGTTCCTACTGTGCATGCGTTCTTGTCTCCTGCTCATTATCACTCAGTGTATGTCACTGCATGTACCAGGAATACTTCACAGTTACACGTGAGCAGCGTAGACAATATGACTCGATGATCAGAGATGTAGCCTGAGAGGGTCTGAGCCTTGTGCTCATTGCGAGTCGTCAAACAGCAATTTCAAGCTTGTTGGTCCCGATCAGACCCTAGGTTACTGCCAAAGATGGTTTTGCACTAATATGAACGGTTGACCCGAGAGTCGCACGCACTTAGTAAGTACTCTACTCGTTCGAGCATTGCACGCGTTGCCATTCGGGCACGCACGGTATTACGCGCGCTGCTGTTCGGGCGCGCATCGAGACGTGTCATTGATCGTAAACGTGTGGGCTGTCGAGCATATTTCGAGGCATCATATTTCTTCGTTTGAGCGCGTTGCTATTCGACGCTTCGAGACATCGAGCTTATTGTTTTGTTTGAATGTTCGTCGTATCGCAAGTGCGCATATAGCCAGTACACGGCGTGCTAGAATAACCATATTCAGAGCACACATAAATTCCTGACATTTTCTCACGCTAGAATGCGAGCGCTCATGCTCGCCTGAGCAGTACGGCCGAGGAGATCCGAGCTTATTCATCTTATCAGATAATGATGACTAACGATCATTTAGGCGGGCGTGGACCTGTCTCTGCGACCACTCACAACGATGCCGCGCATGGACGTGTCTCAGACCCATCCGCAGGCCGTCGTTTGGTATGTCATGCTCCTCAACACCATTTGATTATAGGGGTCAGACGCCAGGCAGAAGACGGCTATAAGAATGGGTTCCGCAGAAGGTTGCCCACATCGTCCCAGACATCCATCTGGACCATGTCTCTACCGACTGTAACGAAGACTGTAGCTGTGCTTGGTTCCTCTTACGGAGGTGGGTGCCATACATTCATACCTTCCACGCAGCTGAACGCCCAGCTGACCTGCATCCCAGGAACTCGAGCAGCTCAACTACTCGCCAAAGGGCTTCCGAAGGGCTGGCGAGTCGTGGTGGTGGACCGAAATAGCCACATGAACCACGTCTACGTCTTTCCCCGCTATGCTGTCGTTCCAGGACACGAGCACAAGGCTTTTATCCCGTACGGACCCATGTTCCGGCGGCCAGATGCCCGACCCGATGTGTCCGCGGTATTCCTGCACGCACAAGTGACGTCGCTCTCTCCGCGGTCACTCACGCTATCGCGCGCGTTTCCTGAGCACGGCGTGCTCGAGCCAGAGAAGACGCTCAACTTTGACTACGCGGTGTACGCCCTGGGTAGCCATCTGCCCGCGCCGATCGATGTGTGGGGTTCCACCGAAGACGTGGACGTGAAGACAATCGCGGAGTCCACTCCTGACACAAATGCGAATAGGTCGCCTTCGGCACTTCCGCTCGCTCTAGAAACGAAGGGGACAAAGGCCGCGGGCATCGAATGGCTCAAGCGGTATCGAAGTCGCATTGAGAGCGCCTCGAGCATTCTAATTGTGGGCGGCGGGGCGCTGGGAGTCCGTACGTGCAAAAGCAGTCATTATCTGACTTGCTTCGCTCATGGCAATGCGGGTTTCAGAATATGCGACAGACATTGCAGACGTCTTCCCCGATAAGAAAGTGACGCTCCTGCATTCTCGACAGCAGCTGCTCCCGCGGTTCAGCCAAGCCATGCACAACGAAAGTGAGTGCTTTCAGTTGTCATCGCAAACGTTGGTTTGTCTTACAAATTGTGTGTGTAGTCCTGTCGACGCTTCATACAATGAACATCACGACCATCCTAGGCGAACGCCTCGATGTCCCCTCTCTAATATCGGGAGAAACAGCCACCGTCGCCGATGGGAAGAAAGAGCGCGTCGTCCGCACGCTCAGCGGGCGCGAGATACGTGCAGAGCTTGTGGTATGCCATCCGCGTACTCTCTAACTACACTAGCTAAAGGGTGTGCATACCCAGCTGCTGTGCACTGGTCAGAAGCCCAATACCGCGTTGATGGCGCAGGCTGTCCCAGACGCGGTCAAGTCTAGCACTGGCCTCATTCGCGTGTCGCGCACCATGCAGGTCGCTGTGCCGGCGACTTCACATACAGAACCCTCCAGTCAGGCTGATGGCAGGGTGAATATTCCATATCCGCACCTGTTCGCAATAGGTGACTCGGCCGATGCTTTCGGGGCGATCAATTCCGGTCGTAGCTCGGCTTTCCAGGTGAGTCTGCATCTTGCTCCTTAATTGTAATACTGGGGGAATCTGATGTTTTCCATGAAGGCGAATGTAGCCGTACAGAACATTTTACGACTCGTGAATCGTGAGGAGGAGGGCGCATCTGGTGAGCACGCGGAGCTAGCACACTACGAGCCAGACCCCCCTGCGATCAAAGTGTCGCTTGGTTTAGTGAGTGCACTGCGTTTATCCTCCTATCATTGCTTATGGTCTGGGTTGCAGAACAAACGCGTTGTTGACCGCAATGGGGACGTTGCAAGCTCCTTGGGCGGGACGCCAGCCATGGAGGCATACGGCATGTGGCAGTTATACGGCGTGGAAACAGACGAAGCAGGGATGCACGCGTGATGCAGCAGTCTAGATGCGCGATGATCTAGAAAGTCCTTTCTTGTGGTAATCTTATGCATGTTCCCTTCATCGAGCGTGCCACCTCCTCGTCAGGCTCGGCAGCCCCGTCAGCACAGGTAGGGTTTGAACTAGTTTGTACGAGGCAAAACCCATCACTGCTCGTTTCCACAATCTACAATCTGACACGATGAATGTATTGTGCGGAGGGATACCACAATATGTTGATATGGCCCAATACATATATGTACTCGTGTAAGACATGATGTGGAGTCAGAGATACCCATCTTTGTCGACTCTTTGCCCTGGAGCCCGCGTCGATGCACCGGCATTGATAGCAAAACCTTGTCTCGTACCCATCCGTTTTCATACCGCACCCCACCACCGCGTATCTAAACGTCTGGGGCATTCCGATAGAGCCCTCCCCCCTTCCGTTTAGCGCTCTCTTAGCGCCCATGTAGCGCCCATGTAACGGTCACAATTTGATCCTGCATCATTCCGTCAGCTCGCCTAGCCTATTTAGGTAATTACTCCTAGCAACTTTTGCGCGCACAGCTGTCCTTCTGTAGTTTTCTGTAGTTGACTGTCAAACAATTGACAAGAAATGAACTATTGAAATGCATATCATTAAAACTGCATGGCTACACAGCAGATTTTAAAGGAAGTAAAAGAGATTTATATTCATACCTTAGCAATAGCCTGATACATTTATGGTTGTGGGGTGGGGTGCAACACCTATTTTTCCACTCCAATACAACTTCAAGAGGTCAGCAATATATACATCCGGAATTTCATTTCTGTTGCACTACACTCGCAGCACTGAGGGACAGCTGTGCGCGCAAAAGTTGCTAGGAGTAATTACCTAAATAGGCTAGGCGAGCTGACGGAATGATGCAGGATCAAATTGTGACCGTTACATGGGCGCTACATGGGCGCTAAGAGAGCGCTAAACGGAAGGGGGGAGGGCTCTATCGGAATGCCCCAGACGTTTAGATACGCGGTGGTGGGGTGCGGTATGAAAACGGATGGGTACGAGACGAGCAAAACCGGGTTCTGCCCGGATCGCTGATGGAATGCTATATACGTGCTCACGTTGATTAATTATATACCGTCTCAATTTTAACATCGAGTACTAAGACTTTGTTCCGTGAGGAAGGACCAGTTCAATTTGAGTATCGTCGCAACATCATCGCCGTTCTTGATAGCAGTGAAGCAGTGGTGATTCGAATATATAATACTGACGCGCTTCAATTGTTGCCGGCCCGGGAGCGACGCGATCGACCAATGATCGGACGCGTCTACCACGGACGTGACAGGACGCGTTTTCGCGTGCTTTCATTCCTTCGCCCATGATCTTTGCTCAGATTGTCCCAATACGTGCTCATTCATAACCATGTCCACCGTCTCAGAGCCTCTAGGTGTGTTGAAGAAGGCTGTGTCGAAAGCGCACAGGAAGGGTAGCAAAGAGCATCTCCATGCTATTGAGCAGCTCTCCTCTCACCTCATTCTACTTGTAAGATACTCTTCATCTCAGACTTCTTACGTTGCATATCATAAGTAACAGAAACCGTCAATATTAACTGCGCAAGCATGTCAAAAGCTCTCACGCTGTCTCCGCCATCCTCTCGTATCAGTATATCACACATTTCCGTTTCCCGGTCTGCAAGTAGCATCGGCGCTGTTCCATGAGGTGTACCACACAAAGGTCCTGCCAGCATTGGGCAAACAATCTCACGAGCAGAAGGCGCTATGGGAGACAGTCCTAGAATCTCTGCTGGCAGGTGTACTCGTAAGCAAAAGAACAAGCTGCTGGTACACCTCAAGCTCACATCGTGACAGGACTTTTTGGAAGAAGCAGGTGCAGGTCAGTCTGCAGTGGTATTACTCTGCTGCATTTAAATCTCATAGTCTCGCTGCAGACAAGATAAAAATCGCCAAGGCAAAAGATGCTGTCGCAAATACTCTCTACTCCTCGATTTGCGACATCTGTTTTTCATTGACGGCTCCGATGATGAGTGTAGACCTCCGGTGCACGGTACGCCGAAATCATGCCTTATATGCGCGCTGGCGTAAATACAGACGTCATATTATTGCAGGCGTACAGTCTGCTCTCAGACTCGGCTGCCGGACATGCCGCAAATCAGCACAAGCTCCGTAGCGACACTGTCCTCGGAGGGTAGGCACGTACCACTCCGTCATGTCCAGTTGTACTAACGGCGTATAGGGAGCGTCTGGGATCCGTCATGTGGCGAACGAAAGGTGACAGGTTCAAACGTCTGGTGTCTGCGTAAGCTCATCCAAATGAATAGACTATCTGGCGCTCGAGAGTCTCCTTACTGTGTTCGCGCATCTCTTACCTCCAGCAAAGGATGCGACAGGGGGCCGCCTAGACGGAAAGCGTGCCGCATATATCCACTCTGTGTTTGTTTCTTCCCAACCGCCCGAGGCCGCAGGCGCGGGCGAAAAGGTAGCTGACTTATTGAGTCGTCTGTTGACTGGCGACTGGGATGATGCAGCGCGCAAGATTATGGACGTACTGGCCTCAGCAAATCTTACGTTGTGCGTGTCACAGCTAATTGTTTGTTGCTTGAAATTTACGAGCTACGGAGTGTATTAGTCCTCAGCCCTTTTCCGTGAACGAGATACATGCCTGCGGACAGCTACAACGCGCAGATGGGCTTTTTGTGGATGATAAATCCCTCATCGCGAACGTCGTCATCTCGGTGAGCTTGTGGTTTGCATCTTGCTGGTCAAGGCGCTGCATATACTGACTATATGCGGTCAAATTGCCATCTGTTGTGTATAGGACACCCAATGTGAGACGCTCACAGTCCCATACCCAACAATTCACCGCATTGAAGTGGATCGGGAGTATTCTGGGGATGAGACTACGCCTTCTCGCATCGATATTTGCGTCAATGCACCACCTCTACTAGGAAAGGAGCCTGCCGCCAAGAGCACGCCTGAGAACGCACGAGAACACGAGCTTTGGACAGTCTCGTTCGCTATACAGAGTGACCGTGTCGAACGGTTCGTCAGAACATTGACTGCGCGAGGTCTTGTGAGTCTCTTGGTCATCAATTCGCATTATTTGTATGACTCAACACTCATTTGAATGAAAGGGAAAGCGGTTGAAGGACATGATGCCGCCCAAACTTTCTCTCGCCAAGTCACCAACGGTCCTCGAGTTCGACAGCCGGGGCATGCCGGTGAAGGAACTCAGTCAGTCGGAGGCACGTTTTTCTTCTTCGCTACTTGGCGATCTATGCTACAGCCTAACACTATATCGACTTCCAGCGCATTGAGAATGTCGAACAATGTAAGGATGATGTCTGATCGCTCTCCAGTATGCTGAATTCATCTCATCATTAGTTTATCGCACAAATCACAGCAGTGACGATTTGCAATCCGTGGCTCAGGGCGAGAACGATAGCGGCGATATAGACGCCTCTATTGGCACTACCACTGACCCTCTGGGCCCCGCGTCTGGCGTAGATGTTGAGGATTCCAACGTCTCGCGGCTCAGTGCTTCAAGCGCCCAGGTATCGATATTAGCTCAGAAGGCTTCTGGATCCACAGGTGCCGCCGCAACTGATGATGCTGGTCTTGTCTCTGTCATCACTACTGTGGCTCCTGCTAGCAAGTCTCTCGTAGCACCCCAAGCCAAAACGCGGGCTACTTCCATCAAGCGTACTGGGTCACAACTAGTCCGGGAACGAGTCTTTGGTGCTAGCGATGAGGAACTCTCTGAAGTCTCTGACGCGGGAACTGTACTCTTTCCTGGTCGTTCAGAGTCGCCTTTGCAACGCAAGAATGCATCTTTGGGCAGAAGGGTCTCTGCTAAACTGAATTTCATCCCAATACCCTCTGTTCCTCATCCAAAATCTAAGCCTGGTCGCCGGATCCTAGACTCTGACGAAGATGAAGCATTGCCAGCTCGTGCCAGCTCTAAGCTTCGCAATCAAGGACCTAACACAAAGACAACAGCGACAAAGAAGAAAGCCGCCAGCGCAGTCGAGGACGTCTCAGAAAATGAGATCGACGTCTTGGTGCTTACACAGCCTGGCTTTATTACTCCTCCTGCTGCCAATCCGAAGACCCCTCACAAGTCCCTCGCGAAGGAGCTCTCTAGGGCGACTGTCGATCAGCTTGGTAACAATCCAGACGCACCAACGGCAGTCGATCTGCTCGCAATGAACTCACTCGACGAACATTCTAAGAATTTGCCATTGCCTGCTCAGCGGCCGCCTGCGTCCAAAACGACCGGTCGCCATCGGATTGACAAGCCCACACTTGTTACCGATTCTGATCTCGATCCTCGCAGATCTTCCAAGAAGGCTGCCCCTGTCGACGCTCCTGACCCTGGCTTACATCGCAAGAAACAAAGTGATTCCTCGCGCTCTTCGAAAAAAGACTTGTCTCATCTTGGTCCGGACATCACAAGTTCTGTGCTTGCAATTAGTAAATCGTCCACACTTGCTCCTGCTGCCAATTCGTCTGCTAGTAAGAACGTACGGGTCTCGAATCATGATGTGAAGCCTCACGGCGTCCTCAATACTGTTCCCGAAGATCTTGACGAAAGTGATCACAGTGAGTGCCCACTGCCATCGTACAGCCGTCTTTAATTCTTCGAGCAGTCGTCAACGGTTCATCTCCCGTCCCAATTTTCGGCCCAGATCGACGCTCGGTTAAAGCTGGCCTTCGCAAGAAAGGCCAGCCATTGGCTACCGACATCAAGACGTCTTCTCGCGTCACTGCCACAAAGAGGAAGAGGGGCGCTCCAGCCAACGGATCTTTAAATCCTGACTCTGATCCTGACAGCTTTGACATGAAACCGCCTGTATCTAAGCGTGCCCGCCGGGCAGATAGGTCCAGTGTCCTTCCGCGATCCGCCATCCCCTCCGAACGTACTGAATCTCAGGTTCTTCGACCCCGAGAAACGGCGGCGACTCGTGCGACAAAGCGGTATCGAGGCAAGAAAGATAGGTCCTCTTCTCCCACAGTCGCAGCGCAACAGGTCGACTACGATGAATTACCTGGCACTGTCTCTGTACAGGGAACCTCTTCTCCTCTATTTGGTAAAGCCATTTGCCGTAAAGAGAAGACCGGGGCCCAAGCGAAGGGTACTTTGCCTGCTTCGTCTGTTCGCATGGATCGCATGAATGCTGGGAAGAAGAATAACTGTGTACCGTCAGCACCCGAGGATCTATCAGACTCGCCTCCTCCGCCCAATACGATGCAATCAGAGGACATTTTACATATCGACGATGACGACAGGGAGCGAGAAGAAGTAGATAATATGCTCTCCAGCGATCCGAAGATGACTTCCACCGCGAAGCACTCCAAAGCTCTACGTTCCAGCAAGCCGGCAGCAGTCGTACTACAGGCGGGTCCCGTTACGTTCTACTTGACTCTACTTGACTATATGACTGAGTGATGTATAGGAGACGCAGCCACAGCCTGCAGCTACAATGAATAAGCAGAGGTCAAAGGTAACAGTCGACAATGGAAGCCATCTCTCGGACACCACCGTAACCTCAGTTTTACAGCGAAGCACACAATCCGCGACCTCCAAGAAGTCAAACCAAGTACCTTGGGCAGATCTTCTTGCCCCTCGTGGAGCGTCCCCGGCTGTTGTTGAAACCGACACTCGCGGGAAGGAGGCCGTTCGACGCCCACCGGTCAAAGGCGCTGTGGGAACGGCCTTGTTCCACGACGTTGACGAATATGAGAAGACCTCTGGTGCAACAGACGGGATGCAGGACCACTGGGTTATGGACAAGAACGAAAGGTCAAATTCCGTGTCGACAAACATTATTGAGGTCAGTAAGTTCAACACTGTATAGGCCGCGCTTGAGTTGAAGTGTGGCTGCGTTAGCTTGACGTAACGGAGGCCGAAACACAGAAAATAGACACCAAGCACAGCACTCCAAAGGTGTGTGATGTGCATTTGGGATCAGCTGGATTGCTGATTTCATCTGTCTTCTATCATCTGTCTTCCATTCAACCTGGGTGTCAATGACACGGCACAGGAAACTATCGACTTGACGAAAGACGATTCACCCGTCAAACAGAAGCCTCCCCGCTCGGCTGTGAAGTCGCTGCAAGAGGAGCTCGACCACGGCTTCGCCTTCAGCAAAGCCACCAAGGAAGACTTTGAGATGTCCACACCATACCGGAAACCTCCGCTACCGCCCGTTCACCCGTCGTCAAGTGCAAGCAAGGCCTCGCGTGCGAAGCATACCGTTACTTTCGCACCAGAGGTCCCGGAGTGGCGGTCGCCCCGCAAACCTGTCGACGTGCGCATGAGCATGGATGCCAGGGAAGATATCGCGCCGAAGGCGAATAAAGTCCCAGGTACGAGGCTGCTCGTGCTGGTGTGGTATTCAGAGCCTCAGTCGTGCTTGCATTAGCTCCGCGGAGCCCGATCCTCAAGAAGCCCACTCCGATCAAAAAGCTGCCCAGCGACACGGTATTCATGACCGCCGACAGCGGTCGAACGAATAAATACGATACGAAGGACAAGGCCGTCGGCGTGCAAGAGATCGTCGATGTCCTCCAAGATCTGCAAGAGGTAGAGAACCGCGACACGGCTGACGGGCCATCTCACTCACGATCTCGCGCAGGCCGTCATGCAGAAGATCGCCAGACGCTTCGAAGGCGTGCGAGACGACGTGCGCGCGGGGCGCGAGGCCATCCTCGCCGAGGCCGCAGCCGACCTGCTCGAGCTGCGCACCGAGAGGCGAGTGCATCTCCCCCGCTCCCACA